CCAAAATCCGCCCAAACCACAAAATGTATCTTTTTTCCGCCCAAATTTGGACGGAAACGCCCAAAACGGCAACACTGGATTTGACAAGGGAAGGGGAAATTTGTATTTTCAATGAGAGTAACATATAAAAGTATGCGATTTATGAGATTTCAAACAAAATGTGAATGTAGTTTTCACACTGTCCTTTTTATTCAAACAACAGTTAATTTAAATTTATGCCAGCTATACCTTCAAATAAACATTAAATGTAAATGAATGCCAAATTTATTTTGCTTTTGAGTATGTATTTTATGGATATAAATATATGTTGTAGTATTCTAGTTCTTCTCTTATATTTCATTAACATTCAATATCGTAATTGCTGCATACAGTCACGCCGGCACTCCTCGTAGGTGAGAAAATTGTTTTGCGTAGCACCACAACCGGAATAGTAGAAGCTTATGCATTTGCCAGATTTATTGTCGAATGCGTAACGCAATATTTTGCCGCGACAGAGACCAGGTGTTTTCGGCTCCAAACAAGCTGAGAATGAAGTAAGAAGAAGAAAAAAAGAAACAGAACAGTCAATTGAATAATTTCTTTAAATATATATTTATGGTTGCACAGTAGGGACATAAAATAGATTTAATATGAAAAAAATTAAGTTCCATGAAAGAGTAGAGTATCTTAACATAGAATATCAATCCGTTTCAATTAAAATACAAAAATAACCCAAAAAGCGAAACCCATATTATCATCTAATTTGGTTGGAAATTGTGGCAGAAACCTCAAAAATACCGAAAATCGGGATGTACCGTTATATGGGATGTATTCCACTTAGTGGTCTTTAATGGGACATTTTTCGCAAGGAGAGAACCCCAATTGTCTAATTTTCGTTAATTTGGTCGGAAATTGTGGCAGAAACCTTGAAAAAACCGAAAATCGGGAGGTAACATTATATATGGGCTATACCTGAACGTGGACCAATATAGCCCGTTTTCAATACTAACCAGCCCGCATATAATATAAACTTTTGTGGCAAATTTCCAAGCCCTAGACTGACTGACGGACATCACTAAATTACTTTATAATTTTATTCTGATCAAGAATATATACATATATTTTTGGGGTCTCCGACGAATATTTCGAGGTGTTTAAAACGGAATGACAAATTGTATGGCAGAGGGTAAAAAAATATATCAGAAGTAGAAAAAGTATAAGTCTCTTTTGTCGATCGAGAGCTGCATTTTAAAATACACATACATTTAGTCTCGATTAAAGATTTACAAAACCCAAATATTTACTAAACGCTGAAGATCTTTTATCAGAAAACAATTATACATTTATTTTGTCAAGTCTAGTCCGAGAGGTGCGTTGATTACGGGAAACCCCCTTTCATTATTTTTTCATTCAAGACAATCAAATAAGTTCAAAACACCAAGATGGAAATTGTAAGTCGGTTTGACAGATATATACTCCTCACATTAGACTTTTTTTGTATAGCCCCTGTAAGAGAGACATTAGAACCTAAATATCCCTTCTTCAATCTAGACTTAATGTTGACATTTTTGAAATATTTGAGGTTTTGTGCAAAGGTACCAGAATTAGTAAATCCTATATACACACATTATCTAAATTCATTTGAAATATTGGGATGTGCAGAGTTTAGACAAAATCGGAAATTCATGTTTTATACGCAATAGAGCGACCGGAAAGAGTAGACCTATACTTTTCATTTTCTGTCTTGGACACAGTTCGCATTATTTGGGATGTAAATTTTTCAACATTTTGATCGATTTAGGGGAAGGCACCAAAAGTAGCATACTAGCCCTAGTAATTGTAGAAATATTGAGATGTGCAAATTTTGAAGTAAAAAGGGCACTAATTTCATATTTTATGTGAGTTATTATTATTCAAAATGTACACCTTTTGTGGGAGAGTCACGAGAGAAGGTAAATCAATATTTCCAATTTGAGTTGGGCAAATATCGACAACTCCAAACACATTACGTGAAATATATATATTTTTTTAATTTGAATTGTGTGAATTATGATTTACTAAATTTTAGCTCAATCAGTATTTCCTTCTATTTTTAAGAGAAAATTTTTAACTGTTTATGGCGAAGGTATCAATAGGAGTATACCGAACAATGTCACGAGGTGCCAAGATCGGACTGGATTTAGAGTCCATGTTAGTTATCTCGATTAGGCACAAATGATACCCATGTATCCATGGGGACGATGGTATAATTAATTATGTTTTGTGTGGGACTTTTGATTGCTAAAGTATTTTTCGTTGATATTATATTGTTGATAGTTGGCGCTTAATGTTAAACTAACCAAATGAATAGAAAATTCAAAGCATACTTTAAGGCGGAAGAGAAATATTTGCAAAAAATTCTAGATTTACAGCACTGTTGTAATCTGAAAAAAGACTTTTCTGTTTATTAATATGTTTAGTTTAAACTTAAAATTTAACATAACGATCTGATGCACCATATTTTCCTTCGAAATTTTTATGCAAAATGATTAATTATTAATTATTATTAAAAATGTACACAAATTTATGAAACTTAGGTCTTTATTTGTATCCCCCACATAACAGCATCGTCCGATTTTAGTCATTTATTTATTTTTATACCCTCCACCATACTATGGAGGGCATATTAATTTTGTCATTCCGTTTGTAACTCCTCGAAATATTCATGTCAGACCCAACAAAGTATATATATTCTTGATCAGCGTAAAATTCTAAGACGATTTAGCCATGTCCGTCTGTCTGTCTGTGTGTCTGTCTGACTGTTGTAATCACGCTATCTTTCGAACAAATTGAGATAGAAGGCTAAAATTTTGCACACATGTATATTTTCCCAGTAGGCAGGTTAAGTTCGTAAATGGGCCATGTAGGTCCAAGTTATCATATAGCCCCCATATAACGGTACCTCCCGATATTCGGTATTTTGATGATTTTAGCGACATTATTCACCGGAATTATTTCAAATTTGGTATTTGAAGTTCGTAATGGATACTACAGCCTAAGACAGAAAATTATCTGTGCAGGTCCACGTCTTCATATAGTACCCCACATATTCGGTATTTTGACGATTTTAGCTACATTATAAACAGATTTTTCTTCAAGTTTCGCATTTAAATATTGTAATAATTTATGACAAAAGTTGCCTATGCAGGCCCACGTCGTCGTATAAGCATTCGGTATTTTTAAGATTTTAACATAATTTTTAACGGTTTTTTTTTTGGAAATTGCCAAATTTGTACCAAATGGTGGAGGGTATTAAAAGTTCGGCCCGGCCGAACTTACAGCTTTTTTACTTGTTTTTTATTCTGAGATCGGAACGTGCTAGATACAGCTTCTTTCATTTCCTAGTTCAAATGGGTGCTCACTCTAGACTTCAAGTATATCCTATTGTTTTGAACTTGGTCTCATACCACATTTTCCACACATCGTATAATTTTTTCACATCGTTTAAGTTGTATCATTTATTTCAAGAAGTAAGGTATAATAATAATATAATTTGGATCAGTTTTTTCATTTTTCCAAATCATAAAGGAAAACACCGGTATCGTTGTAAAATCTATACATTCCTGCAGGTTCTGAAAAATAACATGAATTTCACTTTTGATAGACATTTCAATATTCACATATATCAGAGTTTTGTCAAATCGTAAAATTCGAACTTGAAAATATGAGAAGCAGTTTCCTAGGCTTTGACGAGGTCAAAGATAAAAAATGCAGAACTACATGTGGTTGTTTGAAATGAGCCTTTTTCATTGAAAACTTCTCTTGTGTTATGTGATGATTGATGTTCAAAATTGCTTCATTTCGAAGCACAAAATTAATGTCAAGTCTTTTGAATATTCAATGCTAAATTCAAATAATGCTCACAAAGTTTAAAGAATTAATTTCGTTTTTTATTGCTTTTTCTGTTTACATTGTATCTGGTAATTTCAACTTTGCAAGAGTTTTTCTAATTTTTGTAAATACTTTTTTCGATATATTCAAACTCAAATAAAACATATACATTCAATTTTGTCTTTTTTAAATGTTCAAAATCACAATTTCATGAAACTTCACTACTCAGACAAAAATTGTATAAAGACGATTTTCCCAAGATTTTCACACACATTTTTATTACCATAATTATATGTTCTTTTAAGTTTTATCATAATCAAATGTTATTGAAAATTAACTATGTTATTACCCGTTACATTTTGATTGTTGCGTTTAATATTTTCCACTATTTGGTTCGTCCACACCAAGAACACTGGACACAGTGAAATTTGAATCAATGCCAATAAAATTAAACTCGTTGACAACTTCATTGCATTCGAATAATAAAATCGCATGGACATTAAGAAACAAAAAACAAGAACAATAAATGCTACATCAACACTTTGAATACACCGGAGTCAAAGACAACACAGTTCACTGTGATGGTGTTCCCGATCGATCAACACACGATGAAGTAATATTGCTATGCAGATAATATGAAGTTCTTTAAAAATGCTAAAATTGCAATACGTGTCTTTTTTGCTATTCTCTCACTTTCATATCGACCGAGCGGTGTTAGTTTTTTGATATATATTTTTTCAAGTTTATTGCAGACAAGACACACACATGTAAAAAATATTGTTCCATGAATGAATATAAAAGATATACCCACCCCTTTGGAGAAAAAGACACATTAACGATAAAGATGTTATTTTATAGTTTTCACAAAAAAGCACGTCTTCGGGGGAACAAGGGGGAGAAAGATGGTGTTTACAATTTCCATTTTAATTGCAATGTTCACTGCACCCACCTTCGATGCATATTACTCTGTATTGCAAGTATATTGATTTCTCAATTCTTGTTAACATTTCCATTACATCGTTGAATTTCTTTTTTGCTCATTCTTCTAATAACATAGGAATCTATAAATGTAGTTCTCCAACATGTAGTTGTTGGTAACATTATTTGAATTTCCCCAACCTTTTACTGAATGCATTGAACCATTTGAAATATTCGTTGTTTTACATTTTATTATCATCTTTATAATTATTATTTTTACAACTAAATAAAATCTGTAAAAATAATTTCTTCTTACACACATGATTACTTTCTAATTACAAACAGATAGATACACAATAGTTGATATTTATATATTTCATTTAATTTAAAAATAATCAAAAAATATATATTTTTTTATAATTTTTTCCTTTTTTAAATTCTAATTGAAAAAGCCATTTGTTTGTTTTTTTTTTAATTTTTGTATAACCTTCTAATGCATATTTACATAAATGGTTTTTGGGGATTGTTAATGGTGGACATTGAGACGGTGGATTTGGTGAGATTTTCTTTTCAATTTTGAATAGGTCTTATAGGAATTGGGCTTATTTGTATGTTTCATTATTACACTTTTTAAGAAATAAGTATTAAAACTTAAACAATAAATTTAAATATTTAACTCGGTAATTATTTTGTTGTTTTTTAGTAAACCTTACCCAATACAGAGTGGGAATCGAAATCATGGTATAGATCTGCTGAATTCCTTCTCATCATTTAATTGTATATATGCAATTATTTTTGTTCTTTAAAACGGTAACAACAACAAAAATACACATAAATTAATATAAACAAAAGAAAAATAATTAAAAAAATATGCATTGAAAGGTTAGAATAGTATTCATAACACTAATTAATTAATTATTTTTTATCGTATTTTTATTGCATCCGTCCTTCTTTTTGTTTTGTGTTTTTTTTTTTTTGGGAGAGCAAAAAGTAGTTTGGAAGACTATAATTTAAATTGATTTCTTTCTTTCTTCTAGTAGCTGTTTGTTTTTAACAAAATTACAAAAAAAAAAAAAAAAACGTTTTTTATTTCTTTTGCGCTTTTCCGCTTTTCAACAATTGCTGCGATTAAAAATCTTTATCCCATCCGGTGACATCATCAGGTGGTGGTCCCTCTGGATCGGGTGGATAGTTATCGAAATTAGTTGTATCCGTTACACCCTTAACGGTGGGCTTGATGGGCGGCTCTAGAGTACGATTTTGTAAGCCCCACCAATAGAAACCATCAAACCATCTGAAATAAAAAAAATTATATGGAATATGATTAGTAAAGTTAAAATAAAAAAAAACGTTAAGGAGAGATTTAAGGTAATAGGAATTAAAATAATTATAAAAATTATAAAAAAGGTTAGCTATAAGGTGTGCTTTTGTTCATGACATGATAAAACTTCAGCCATCCGGAGTCAATGCAATAAATCGCTCTCGCAATTTAAGACCTACGCTATGAAAATATCTATCAAAAGCACGTTTGTAGTCCAATTACAAATTTAAGAAGTAAAATTGCAATGTCCGTACTTTTTGTACTTTTTCTGATACTGTGAAGTAATTCTGTCTTTGGAACTCAAAATGTTAATATTCGCCAGTGGCTTGGAAAATAATAATACACATCAATAATAGGAAAATGCCGTATCTAGGGTTTATAGCAATAGGTGGAGTTGGAAGTTTGATATTTCGGGCATTGAAATATTGAACAATTTGCATCATATTTTTGAAAGAAAATCAAGACATTCGCATTCATTCATCTTTACTTTAAATCTTTCGCACTTTTTAACGCATTTTAAATGGGGAAATACATCAAATAAATGTAAACTTTATTTGTATTTAATATTGGATAATTCTGACAAGAAGCGGACATAGTCTTAGGGATGCAAATGAGTAGTTGTACGAACATATTTTACCTCCTGATTGTCTTATTACACAATGAGTATCCAATTTGATCCAAACTTGGTACATTATAATATTATTGTCAAACTTAGATCGAATTCGGAGATGGACAATATCGGTCCACTCCGTCGAGTACCTCCCCCACAAAGGGTCAACATGTGGAATAATTTAAACTTCTATAAAATATGATGTAAGAGTCTGATTATCTTCAAATTACACACATCACAATATTTTTATTAGTCCAAAGTCTGGTGTGAAGATGGAATATATCGGTTGACTCCTTCTGGTACCTCCCCAACAAATGTTCAACATTTTGTATAACCAAAACGATCATAAAACCGGAAATAGGCATCCGGTTCTCTTAAAATTACACACATCACAATATTTTTATTAGCCTAGTTAGTTAGTTTGGTGTAAAAATGGAATATATCGGTCGACTCCTTTTAGTACCACCCCCACAAAAGGTCAACATTTTGAATATTCATGAAGCTCATAAAAGACGAAATAAACATCCGATTCCATCAACACAAGATCTGTTATAAAGATGGTAGAGATCGCACCATTTCTTCTGGAACCTCCCACACATATGGTTCAAAATGTTGAAAAACAAAACGATCAAAGAAAGCGAATTTTTTGCTCTGAATATGATATACATCTGCCAACCCCTTCTGGTAACTCACCCACAAAGGGTAACGATTTCCATTCTTTTATTTTTCATCACCTGCGAAACAAGTCAGTGATTTTTAACAACTTGATATAACTAAATATTTCTCTTAACCAGAAATCTGATATGAATATGTAATTGTTCGAAATTTATGGTTTCGCATATAATTGGATATGAATATTCGATTTTCTTCAAATTTTGCACATACCAATATTTTTATCTGTATTAGATGAAGTATGAAAATTGAATATTTCGGTCATATTTCCACATTTTCCAAAAATGTGCACGTATCTCATATAAAGTATAGGAAGTAGTCGATGTAGTCCAAATCTGGCACGTTTTATCAGTCTTAGGTCAGATACGAATTGGCCAATATAGGCCAACTTCTTCCGAACCTCCTCCATAAAGAATCAACAGTTTGAATAATCATAACTCAACTTGTTTCAAATCTAATGACAGTATAATGAGTATAGATTTGTTCAGGCAATCGACAACGGAGTCAGAATCTTTCTTTCTTAAAATCAGAGTTGGCTCAAAAATGGCAGCACTTGGCTGTAAACGGAAACGAACAATTACTTTATCTACAATCTTAAGGCGGTGGGAGGTAAATGTCTTTACGATTGATTATAGCTGTGGCTCTGACAAATAGACCATGAAATGCCATCAAACACCTATCAAATAAAATAGGTACGACCTGGTCTTTCGTTTGTGGTTGGGTAAAATACATTTAAAGCTATTGCCCCTGTGGATGTATTAATGACATTCAGCCCGAAATATTTGATTTCAATGGTATTATAGATCAGAGGAACATGTTCTACTGAGCAAAATAGATCTAATATTTTACCATTCAACAGGTATTAAAACAGAAAAAATAATTTTCGTAGATTAACAGATTTTTATACTCACTTATGCTTTTGTATTTCACTAATGCCGCCACGCTGATAACCCAAACGTTCAGCAGGATTGTCACGGCACAGCTTCTTGATAAGATTGCGGGCATTGCTAGTAATGTTGCGGGGGAATTCAATGGCATCAATGCCTTTCAGAATAATGTTATAGGTACGCATGGGATCCGAACCGGTAAAAGGTGGAGTACCTAAAAGAAATATCACAAACAATTAGAATCGTTCATTCAATGCCAAGACACATTCACACATACCTGTCAACAATTCAAACATCAATACACCCAAAGACCAATAGTCGGCACTAATGTCATGGCCACGATTCAAAATGACTTCTGGTGCCACATATTCCGGTGTGCCACAGAAAGTCCATGTCTTACGACCCGATTGCAGTTTCTTGGCAAAACCAAAGTCCACCAATTTGACATATCCCTTCTCATCCAACAGGAGATTTTCGGGTTTCAAATCGCGATAGATGATATTGCGTGAATGCAGATAATCAAAAGCCTCAACAACACATGCCGTATAAAATCTAGTTGTGGAATCATCGAAATTTCCCTTATCACGCAGTATGGTCCACAGTTCTCCGCCCAGGCAGGATTCCATTAACATGTAGAGATATTTCTTATCCTTAAATGTTTTAAAGAGCTTAACAATAAATTGACAATTGGCCTCGCCCATTATCTCCTTTTCGGACATGATGTGCTGCTGTTGGCGGGTCTCGACAATTTGAGCCTTTTTCATTTGTTTCAGGGCAAAGGAACGGCTGGCATCGCCATGTATTTGTACCAATTCGACGCGACCAAAACCGCCAACACCTAAGGTGGCAATGACACGCAGATCGGTAAGACTGACATCGCGGAATTCTTCATTGATCCTGTAAAAAGGGGGAAAGGGAAAATTAATTATGATTGCGTTTGTGTGTGGTATAGGAGGAGTCTACTTACTTTCTTCTCTCCAGGGTGCCTTCATCGTCGTAACGATGTTTGATTTCATCTAAATTCGATATTAGCTGGTTGAAGGTTTCACGATCTATGACCAAGCAGGTAACACCTTCGGGTGAATCACAAATGATGTTAGCAGTACGCAAGTCATCCCTGGATGGAAAGATAAGAATGAAAGCATAAAGAAATAATTAATGATTGCATTGTGATTAATGATTGGCTCTTAAGAGGCAGAGAGAGAAAATTCTATTTCTTTTTAAGAAATTCAAATTTTAAAAGATTTTTTCCGATATATATTTTTTTTTCGATTTATGAGCGAAGGGAGAGTTATGGGATTGTTCATATATTCTATTTTCTTCCAAAGAATTAATTATAGGTTCAAAAAAATCAACGTCGTAATATTAGAAGATTTTAAATATTCATTTAAATGATTATCTTCCGTTGCTCTTTTAAAAAAATCTAAATGGGATGGGGTCGATCTCCGAGTGTGATTTGCCAAAATTTTAAATTTTCACTTTTCTTTTAGGAATTCATTATAGTTTTTTATTTTTCTTCTATTAATTTATTTTAAGTTTTTTTTTTTTAATTCAACAGCAAACTTTCGATGACATTTGAAACATTTAATGCCAGGGTTAAAATTCCTGATTTCTTTTTATTTATGACATTCTGTATACAAATCAATAACCTTAAATTGGCACTAATTATACGACCAGTATTCACTGTGAAGGTCTCAAATATACTGGAAGTATCACTTTGGAGATTTTAAAACCCCCTGAAATGTTCACATCTTTCCACATACAGTGTGAGATGAAAAAACTGCAACAAACTTCAGACTGCAGTCATTTTTAAGCCACTTGTCCGACAGCTGTTAAAATTGTTCCAGTGACAGCTAATTATATTGTTTACATACAAAAGCATTTTGGTGAGAATTTTCCAGAAAAAAAGTTTTTCGTGATGAAATTCAAGCGTGATAGTGTGATTTCTTTATATTTGGCTGGAAAACCACAAGTGGCTATCGTTGGAGCACTCCAGCATTTAAATGTGAATAAAACTATGTTTCGCACCATCGCTCGTAACCGTGATACTGGTAGCGTAGCCAACGTCGAGGAAGTGGACGAAAGAAAACAGCAACATCAGCAGAAATGGTTCCAAAAGTAAAGAAGCGACTGGATCGAAATCCGTGTCGCAGTGGTCGAAAAATGACTCGTGAGCTGAACATATCGCAATATTCCATTCGGCAAATATTGAATAATGATCTAAGGGTAAAGCCATTGAAATTTCAAAAAGTGCAAGAACTTAAACCGCAACAGAAAGAAAATGGACTCAAAAGAGCTAAAGGGTTGCTTCGCTTGGCCGAAAGTGGTGAATTGCCGAATTTGGTTTTCCATTTTCTCCGATGAGAAAACAAAATGATCGTGTTTACTTGCCAAAGAGGTCAGCTGAAAATGTGCACCTTCGGTTGGCCATCAGAACTCAAGTGCCGGCCATGGTGATGATGTGGGCCGCCATAACAGCCGATGGTCGTTCTTCGCTCGTATTAATCGAACGTGGCATCAGAATAAATGCCGAATATTATAGCGAAAATATTCTAGAGGGTGTATTAAAGGCTTGGGCACGCAAACATTTTGGCCGCAGACCTCGGACATTCCAACAGGACTCACCACCATCGCACTCAGCACCCAAAAATGGTTACAAATTGAAGTTTCTTGCTTCATTTCCAGCGCTTAATGGCCACCAAAATCTCCGGATACCAATCCGTTGGACTATTGTGTCAAGAGTATTTTGGAAAGCAATGTTGGCACTAAAATATACCAATGTGTCGATCACCTCAAACTATCGCTTCCCCGGGAATGGGCCAAAGTACCGCAGAGCAACATTCGGACAGCGTGTGACGGTTTCATTGGCCGTTGGAAGGCCATAATTTGTGTCAAAAGTGACCATTTCGAACAAATCTAAACTTATTCTAAAAGTTGATGCTATTTCCGAGATTTTTTGCTTTCATTCAATAAAATTTAAAAAAAAATAGTAAAAATTATGTCGTTTGACTTTGTTGCAGTCTCATTTATCTCACCCTGTAATTTTCTTTTTTGATTTACTTACCCTTGCAACGCCTTTTCGCCAAAGAAATCGCCTTTGCTAAGAATTCGAATGAATTTCTCTTCCTGAGTGCCGGGTTGTTTGATTGTGACACGCACCTGGCCTTTGGATATGATGAAGAAGGTGTCACCTCTTGCTCCTTGGCGTACTATATAATCACCCTGTTGATAATGTGTTTCTTCCAATACATCGGAAATCTTGATGAGCGTATCTTCCTGGAGATTTTTAAATATGGGCACACTAAAAAAATAGAGAAAAAAATGATCAGATACAGGAAATTACGAAATAAAAATCAGGTAATTCATAAAACAAAATCACTTTACAAAGTAATGAGGAAAAACTAATGAAAAGCCGCAGCGCAGCTCCGTCAACAATAGTAATAATCAACAACAAATGTAAATAGTATTTCGATGCAGTAAAATTTCTGCAGACACCAAAAAATTATCTCATCTTGTCAGACGGCGGCACAATTCGCAATTCATACATAAATACATCCTCACTTACAGTCCGCCAGTCAGTCAACGAACTTCGAAGACGTTGTTGATCTTCAAGAGGTAACCAACGCACTATGGGTTTTTTTACGTTTATTTTGGCATAAACTCTAATTTCAAAGCTATTGAAGTGAAATTTGGTTTGTATTAATTTTTTATACCCCAAAGATGACTTACGAATTTTCATATGATTTGGGGCACTATTTCATATAGCTGCTATATAGCCGATTTGGCCGATTTGACCCAACTTTTTTGTTTATGAAGCTATTGAAGTGAAATTTGGTTTGTATTCATTTTTTATGCCCCCAAGATGACCTACGAATTTTCATATGATTTGGGGAACTATTTCATATAGCTGCTATATAGCCGATTTGACCCAACTTTTTTGTTTATGAAGCTATTGAAGTGAAATTTGGTTTGTATTCATTTTTTAAGCCCCCCCAAGATGACTTACGAATTTTCATATGATTTGGGGCACTATTTCTTATGTAGCTGCTATATAGCCGGTCTGGCCTATTTGACCCAACTTTTTTATTTATGAAGCTGTTGAAGTGAAATTTGATTTGTATTCATTTTTATGCCCCCAAGATGACCTACGAATTTTCATATGATTTGGGGCACTATTTCATGTAGCTGCTATATAGCCGATCTGGCCGATCGGCTATGATGATTTGGAGAAACATACTGCTCATTCATTACAATAATTATACTTTTGCTAAGCCATTTTGAATGTTTAGTTTTAAATCGCTCTAGTTTACGGATGCACTTTGGCAAATGCTTTTTTATATAATTAACAAAATCTTTCACTTGTTTTGATATCAAACGCATTTGGTCTTCATTTAAACTGATATTATTGATATTCTGTAACACATATTTTACAAGTGCATCTTCTGAGCGATTGTTGCTTCTCCAAATTTCAATAAGCGCTGCATGGACAAACACATGTTTATCTGCAAAACACGTGTTGGCACAAAATAGAACAAAAAAGGCTAGTTACTCATTAATTAACACACTTTTGTTAATAACTTGGCATTTATACCTTTTTGCAATGCTTTGCCATTCACAAGTTACACTCCACGGAACACAACTACAATTTATAGATTTTATATAAAGCTATACATAAACGAAACAATTCACAGTATTACAACAACAGACAATTATGACAAAAAGGGCACCTCGTCTTAATTTTACATACCTGCACTAACGTTTTCCATAATTACACATTTTATTTTTTTCAATTTTATCAAATCAGAAGCACTTGAACTTAGCTGATCTTTACCACCAGTTGTTCCAAAACAAAGTGACTTTCAAACAGCTGACTTTAAAAGCTCGCCAGCAAAAAAGGGTTGCCACCCGTATTGATATTAAACATTTTTTTTCTAATATGGGTATCTACATTTAGGAAATCAGTTAAATTTCAAAATATGAAACCAAAAAAAAATGACTTTATGCCAAAAAATCATGCTTTTTACCCATAGTGCAACGTTTATTTGTTTGCCTGCCTGCCTAGCTGTTTGGTTGGATGGTTGTCTGTTTGTCGTTATGTCTACTCATTATGATCGTTATGATGATGCGCCGCTCGTTCATAGATCCGCATGATGCGGTTGCTCGTTCGTCTCAACATCAGCATCACAGCTTCATCACCATTATGTTTTTATTATTTAGAGGAAGTCATTTGTCGTTGAGAGCATCATTATAATGATCATCAACGCCTTCCAAGAGCCTGTCTGCCTGCCTGGGCTTAGATCACTGTGCGCAAATTTCATTTACTTTTAGGTCTAATACTATTCCACATCAAGGCTTTTTTTGTTTTGTGGTTATGGCCAATGAAAAGAAGTTGTTGGCTGGCTTGCTGGTTATGTGGCGGCAAGCGTGCAGAAACGAAATCAGAGAAAGTTTTATTTGTAAAATAATTTTCAAACATCATTGCTTCCATAATCACGAAGCTGTAGTTTAGTCTGGGGTCTTTCAAAGACAGTCGAAGACAGAAATCATCAAAATAAACATGACTATGGTGGCGGTGGTGGTGCTGGCGATGATGAGACACGGACCACTCATCCACTATCACCACTTATGCTTGGCAACATTGCCGCCACCTCCATTGACTGCTACCGATTTTCGTCTCTACGAACATTTCCAAACCACCGAATGGCAAGCTAAGCGCAACCATCCATCTAAGCTCTCCATCATCAGAAATCATTCAATCGAAAGAAATGTACGAATTCATGGCATTTTTTATTTTGAAGTAATCTTTTGCTTTATCGATGATCGTCATTGGAACGTACATTATTTACACATTATGTTTGTGGGCCGATTCGGAACAGTGGTGCGGATGTATACATTTGCATTTTGCAAAAATAAAATAATGACAAAAAAAGTTTATAAATAGTATTTTTTCTAGATCTATATTGAATGTCTAGGGGAGGATAAAACAGATGATATAGAAAGACCTAGGCATGGCATGGCATAGTAAGGTCATTCTAAAAGGGAAAATGAAGCAGGATTCCAGTACGGCTTTTACATCCCTTTATGATATGTCACAAAAAAGGTCATACAACAATTCCAGGCTTCTTATGTATCATCACCTTAAGTTTGTAGGATAAGCTTATAATTTGTTCAAATTATTACAGAAAGTTTTCTGGTAAGTCCCGAAGATGAGAGGAGAAAAAAGTCTCTAAATGAAGGGAGCAATTTTGACAGTTGAGTTACTGAGAGTTTGTAAATTCTTACTGCTTAATCAGCTGTTTTATGACCGATGTGAAAATGTTTAAAAATCCAGGCAATTATTTAATCAAAAATGGTGTAATACCCTTAGAAAATTAATCTTCACAACGCATTAATTTTGTTAAACCGCTGTTTTACTGAATGTCAAGGCCTGATAACTTTTTGGAATATTTGTACGTGCGAGAGAGTCAAGTTTTACTGGAAAAGTTATCGTACACACCTAATATTTTGAATACATATGGCTGAACGAATTTAAAATTAAATTAAAATTTTACGTTTTTTTTTACCAGTGTTTAAAAAATACCCGAGCGTATAAGTATATAATTGGATACGGTCATTGGATAGCTATTTATACTTGATTATTTTTTTTTTCAACGAAGGCAAGCCATATCGACCATCCATGTTTTAAAACTCCCCCACAAAATTTTAAAATATATTCAAAATTATAAATTTTATATTGAAAAGGAACTATCCGAAATACTGTAAACTTATTACTTAATTTCTGTAACACAAAAACTGATGCGACGTTAATAAATATCGGCCCACTCCTTTCGGTATCTCCCCCGCAAAAAGCCAAAATCTTACACAATATAAATTCTTAAAAATGTCAAATGATTGACTAATTCTGCTTAAACTTCGCCCAAATTTCTACTAAGACACACTTTACGGATTTACTGCATTCCTCACTCCCGCGAACTCAAATAATAACAATAAAATAACACCACATACACCCTGGAATTGTCAAAAGCGTCATATAAATCGAGAGGTGCATTCGAATTGGTCCAAACTTTCCATATAGTTTTTTGGTGAAACCTAGATTATGTTCAACGTTTGTCTCTCCTGCGACCCTACCCGGCGCAGAATTCTATATGAATCTGGAATTAAAGAATGTCTTTTGTTTTGTGGTATCTTGACTGCATTTTGTAATATGTGCAGGCCACAGGCCGAGGTTATAGTCTTTGTGTAGTACGAACGAATTAAATCGTAGCCAAATCAGTTGGCTTCCGAACAACTGGAGTCACCGTTTCACGAGAGATTTGCCAAGAAATCAGTATGACAAATTACTTGTAAATAGTTTGTAAATTAGGACTAAACATGAAGTTGACCCGCTATATGGGTGCAATATCAACTAGTAGTCCTATATTGTACATTTTTTCAACCATTTCATTCCGAAATTTAATTTTTATTTTTTAATTACTGACAGATGGCTTTTACTACCTACTAAAATGTTACCCTTTTTATACATAAATATTTTTTATAATTATGTGTTTTTAGCAAAATATATCAAAAAAGAGTCATTATTTTCTGGTCTCTAAAATTCTATATAATGCTTCATATGACTATCGATAAATAAGTAATTATTAAATCGAATTTTAATGGACAAACATAACTACTTACTTCGAGCGATATGTCCTTGTTAAAAAATTGCGTTGATAATCAGGTTTGTTAAGAGTATTTTAATGGAAAGGAATATCAAAAAATTAAAATTCCCTCCAAAAGACTTCTAACACACCGTCAATTAAAAAAAATAAATAAAAGTTATTCTTTGTCTTTAAAAAAAATTTATAATTTATTTTAGGCTGTTTCAGTAGTTGTGGAAATTGAATTAATCGACACTGAGAATTGACCCTCAAACTATTTTGGCGAATTTCCATATATTCACTTTTTTCTTATTTATTGAATATATGAACTTGCTTGCTTGTTTACGATTACTTGCGTACACATATCTGCCAATTTTTAGGCAAGTTTGCCTTGTAGCAACTTATTTGTATAATAAATTTTAGAATTTCTAATATTGATCGATGTAAAATCCATTGTTGTCACATTTATTTAAATTTTTTATTCAGAGTCTACCTAGAATCGTAAGCATATGTTTTTAAAAATACACAATTCTGGAAATAGCTCCGAAAGGATAGAGAACTTGGTTGGAGTGTAATTTCCTATTAAATTAGTAAGAACACTTCTGTATCAAATTGCTTTAATTATAAAGTGGTGTGACCAAATCTGAAACAAAAAGGAAATGTG